ATGGATATATCAACAGATTCGATTGACAGATTCGATGGTTACAAGTTTAAAGCCTGATTCGCTTTTGATTTCGCAGAAGTAGCAGGTTGTAGGTTTAGGGTTTCGAATCGAGTCTGAAAAGGGAAATGACAGAGAAACGAAGACGAAGAACACTGCCACTTTTGGGGAACTCAACTAAAACTGGAAAAAGAAAACTATATGTTTTTTTTCATGTGGGTCCCACAAAAAGTGAATCTGAAAAGTGGGGAAGCAATCTGACGTGGAAAAATGCCAGGGTGTCCAAAATGTCCTTGCTGGATTTACACGTCATTAAAAATAAAAAAAGCCGGTGATTTTGTGGCATCTTAACGGGCCACCTGGCGTTTAACTGACGGAAGAACCATTTTGGTACCAAAAATGAAAGTTCAAGGATAATTTTGGTACTTTTTAAAGCTGAGGGACATTTTTGGTACCAAAGTGAAAAGTTGAGGGACCAAAATGGTGCTTAAACCAAATTTTAAATAAATATTAAATAAGCTTTTTAAAATTCAAACTCAATTATTATGTCTTATAATTTTCTTATTATTATATTATAAAAATTATTAAAATTTTCAATATATTTTGAACCTAAAAAAATCTTGGATTGAAGCCACCCTACCGAATCTTTGCATGTCAATCATGTTGCATGTCATTCACATTAGTTTGGGTAATCCCTAGCCACCATACCATCGCCTGCCATCCTCCTATCTAAGCGACACTGGTGTGTCGCTCCTCCACCTAGGTTGCCATAAATACTAGTGTCGCCATCCCTGTTGACATGGACATGCATAAGAACCAAAACCAAAGCTTCATCATCTTCTCTTAAAATAGCCATAGCCCATTGTCAGGGAACTAAGGAAACAAAGAGCTAAGAACTAACAAAGAACAAAACCTCAAGGAGCCTTCACTGGCAACCCTTGCTTTATCTCAGTCGCCAAAGATGACCAAGTTCCCACCACAACAACCCACTCTACCATACCCCACACCAAGCGTCCTAATTCAAATAAAAAGATAGGTTTATTCCAAAAAGGGTGGGTTCAGAAAAATAATTTCAATTGAGGAGACGTTTCAAAAATATTTCTAAAAAAGTTTTAAAATATAAAACAATCTCAAGTTGGTATCCTATAATGTCAATTTTGCCCTTCTCCCCAATTAATATATCCTTAAATTTCCTATACATATTGGCCCTTGTTAAGTATTTTCGATGAAGATGGATCAATAATTAGAGCAATCAAACTAAATTGTGCTGAGTTTGAAGTAATTTAGATGAAGATGGATTAGTAATCTGGCTTGGATCTCCAACTAAGGTGGAGAAAATGGGACAATATGTGTAGCTTTGATCATTCGGGGAAAAATTCATCACATTCATCTACACCAATCCATTTAAATTTCAAATGTATCAAATTTAGGGAAATAGTATGTTTGGTGTGAGAAGAGTAAAAGGGAGGAGAAAGTTTTTTAACTAATCAAATTATAATATTTCGAAAACGTTATAATTGGATTAGTTAAAAAATCTTCCCCTTTCCTTCATTTTTCTCGACCCAAACATACATTAAATGTGTAATTTATGCTCTATGTTGCAACTCAAATCTCAAAATATTTGATAAGGGTAGGTGGGTGTAGGAAATTTAGGGATATTAATTAGGGAGATGAACAAATTTGGCATTACAAGTTACTAATTTGGAATTATCTTGTATTTTAAAATTTTTTTAAAAATATTTTTGGAACTCCCCTCTTTTGGAATTTTTTTTTTGAACCCACCCCTTTTAAAAAAGAAACCCTAAAAAGATTTAAATTTTAAATTAAAAAAATTGTGACTCCGATGCCCCAAAATATTTAACCCACTTCAAATAAAATGATCCAACAACATAAAGGAAAAATAATGCATTGCTAGCTAGGCAGTGCAAGTGGGTCAAAAATTAGAAAATAGTTTTAAAAGAAAAAGCAAAATAGAGCTTTCTTTCAAAATATGCTACAATATATTAAAGTTTGATTTTTTCGACTAAATCCTCATTTTTTATTTTTATATTTTGTAAAAATGCCTTTTTTGGTACTTATACATTAAAAAGTGTATTTTTGATCTAATTTTTTTTTCACCTTTTTTCACTTTTTTTAGCCCCTCATCAAATTTTTACTGACATACCATATTAATTAACAAAATTACTTGATTTCTTTTTTATATTAATCACATAAAAAATCCATGTAATCAAAAGTAATGATGTAAACAAAATTATAAATTCATAGCAGCATTTCATATAAATATCTTGTGCCCACTTGCAAAAAATCAATTTTTTTGATTAATTTATGAATTAAAATACAATTAACTTTAATTACTCATTAATTAAGTTTAATTATACATTAATCAACTTCAATTAAACGATTAACCAAAAGAAAAATAAATCCAAGAATTTATTCTTTTGTTCTTCAAAATTAATAACACTTAGATTTTTTATTGCAAAATTCAATATTGTGAACTCATTAATTTAGATTTCAATAGTGTCTTCGTTTATTCTTCAAAATCAACACTCATTGCAATGTAAATTTTCACAACAAAATTAAATTCTTTTGATTCATTTGTCTTTACAAATTTCAGTCTGAAAAATTAACAAAGCATGGCAAAGAAACTAAGACAAAGTAAAAGGAAACCCAATATGTGTTCCTCATTCTGAATAGGGATAAATTAAAAGGAAACCCAATCTGAGATCCTTACTCAACAATGAGGAACCCAAATTTGGGTTTCTAGCTCGAAGATGAAGAACGCAGATTACCATACTTCTTTGAATGAGAAAAAAATAAGCGAACTATTTTGTTAAAAGTAAAATGAATCAATAATAAAAAAGATCCAAAAGTCAACGTTGAGCAAATATTCTTCCTAAATCTAATTGCATTGCTAGAAATTGAAACATAAAAAATGAAGAATACTAAAATCAAGAATGAAAGAAAATATCCAAACATCAATGAACAAGAAGGAATTTGGAGTTTAGTGTTAGGTTTCTCCCGCGACAAGTGTTTTGCGTTTCTCTAGAGTTCTCTTCCCTACAAATCCATACTTTCACTAAAACCCTCTCAACCTCAATATATTGGAATTAATGGAGAATCATGATTTAAAAATAGATTGGAGAATCCATAAGTGCCTTCATCGCGAAAGGTTAGTCTAGGTTCCCTCATTCGCAACTTTTGTCTCACACATAGCTCAGTCATCCAAATCTGCATATATGCCTCACTGGTGGGGTTCTGCAGTGATGTCGTGGGGTTTTACAGTGATGTTGAGGCACTACTAGAAAAATCTCTTTTTCGGACATAATATTTCAGTCAAGCAAAAATTTTGACTGAAAAAAAAAGAGAGAGGGTATTTTGGACATATTCACTGACCGAGACACAAAATTGTCTGTTTTATATCATGTTTGATGATTAATTCGGTCAAAATTTATTTCGGTTAAGCATTCCAACCAAACTAAGGTGGCGAGAGTTGCCATCATGTTACATTCGGTCAGTATGCTTGATTGAAAAACAATTTGGTCAATTATATTGACCGAACCAATATAAAAAAAATCACGTAGATATTTAAATCATTAAAAACATCTGACTCGGTTTATTTCGATCAATATTAATGACCAAACAAAAGGATCTAGCTATGATGTGATGGAAACCGGTTAAAGTTATTGCTTTTCAAGTGTCTTTCCTTCTTTGTTCAGTCATTTTTATTGACCGAAATGATCCTTGGTTTTGATTTGATGGATACTGGTGAATGCTTCAGACTTTTTACATTTTTCCTCTTATGTCAGTTTTTTTGACCGAAAAAGATCCCTTGGTTTATGATTTGATGGAGTCTGCAGAAAGTTGAAAGCCTTTTATGTTCCCATTTTCAGTTCGGTCAGTTTTACTGACCAAAATGTGTCAATCTATTGTGATTTGATGGAGGCTGCTAAAAGGCTTTAGCCTTTCATTTTTTTTCTTCTATTAAACTGACCGAAAATTGGCAAGCTGGTAGCGATTTGATGGAGGCTTCAGCTTTTCAGTTTTTGTTCGATCAATTGGATTGACCGAACAAATGGGGAGTGCAGCTTTTGTTTTTTTTGGATCATTGGTTTTGTCCAAAAGTGAGAATATTGCAGATGATTGATGTATGAGCTTGTAGGGCCCACCACGTTTCCCATTCTTTTCGATCATGGGGCTTGACCGAAATGTTGCCTTCACTCTTTTTATGCCATGTCTTCTCTCATTCTCCATCAGAATTGTGTTTAATTGGTTTCCTTTTTGTTCCTTTCTCCTTCTCCATTAGAAACTGTCTTTAATTTGTTTCCTTCTTGATCCTTTTGCTTCTGTCTTGCTTCTCCAGTTACAACTATGAGTTTCTTTTGATTTGGTTATTAATTAACAAAATTACTTGATTTCTTTTTTA